CAGGGAAAAGCAATGGCCCTGTCCTGGACCAAGAGATGGGGGAAACTGCTAAGGACATTCTGGGGAAACTCTGCTTTGTAGAAGGAGGTGGTGCCCCCTTGAATGATAGTGTGTCAGATGCACTGTACCTGGAGTCGCTGGAACACTCCCGACAGCACAGTGGGAGAGGGAGGTGTGGACGACAGGTGCTGATTAGGCAGAGCAGAAAGCTAAGGAAAATCTGGAACTTAATGATTTTGGACCATGAACTTAAGAACCCGTAGAACAGCCATATTTTTGGATTTAGAGATAACACAGTTTTTTTGTTATTCGACCACATTTTTTCGAAAAACTATCAGACAGAATTCATTTGTGGGAACTCATTCTTTATTTAATACATAAGTACCCAGAACTTAGGATAGTTTTATGTTTGGGTGGTAGATTTCAGGAGGAGGCACATGAAATTGAATTTGAGGCGAAGAGTTAAAAATATTTGAAATGATTGAAATAATCTAAGTGGTGCTGTAGAACTGGGCAGCCAAATTAAGAAATCGAACCCCATATAAACAAACCTCAGAAGTCTCTCCTAAATCTTTATTTATTAGTGACTCCAGCGATCCATTGTGAATTTTAGATATTTAGGATAATAAGATGAAAGTTGGGGATGGAGAGAAGGCAAAAATTAGAAAAAAGCAGGAAGATTGGGCATGTGGATTCATCTTTAAAAAGCCAGTGAAATCATTTTTTAAATGTGTGAAAATCAGCTAAAGTCAGCCCCCATATTTTCTCAAAACAACTAGAAACCAATGAAATCCACTAATAGTCTGTGACCAGACTCTTCTTCAATTTCTTCTTACATATTGAGACTCTTATGTATCGTGAATACAATGTAGCTAAATTATGTGATAATGAGAAAAAAATCATAGAAATAAATAAGAGAGAGAAAAAGGCGGAGCTAATGCATGCAATTAAATTACTTCTGCTTCAAAGAAAGAATCTACACTAAATTGCAAAGAAATTTAGATTGCAAATCTAAACCTATTGTTACTTTCTAAATTGCAAAACATTTAGAAACTAACAATATTGAGAATACCTAAATTTAACTGAGATGGCAAAAGTTTTATTCAGCCAAAAATTCACAGCCAAAACTCTTTCATTATTATAAAAAAGAATCAAACCAACTTTAGAAATTAGAAAAAGCACAACAAAATGTACCTAAGAAAAATAGAAATGAGATTATAATGCTAAAAGAAAAAAAGCAATAAAATATTAAAGGGATAAAGAGTATCAATTCTTTTGCTTAAATGCCAGATCTTGGTTCTTTAAAATTATATAATGGATAGGGGAACTTCTGCCAGGGATTATTCCAGAAATAAGTGAAATTATTAATACACAAAAATGGTGAAAATCTTCTAGAAAAATATAAGCAAGAAAACCTTATTTAATAACAGGTAGAGAAATTGAGTAGAGCAAGAACTTTGGAAAAAAAACAAATTGTTTCCAATGAATTATGTCAAAATATTAATCCCAGACACTTGTCTTAGTAAATTTGGTCATATATTTCAAGGGTGAGATGATTCTATTTCAATTGAAATTCATCCCAATTCATTTTATAAACAAGGCATAACCTTTGCATAAAAATATAAGGAAATAAAACAAAATTAAAACCACAGTCTAATTTTATCTAAACTCTAAAACTCAAGTCTTAATGGAAAGCATTCTGGGAGTTCCAAGATTGAATAAGCCCAATTTCAACTGCTTCCTTAGCTACTACCCAACACACACAAGTTTCCAGCCCACAGCCCATATCACATTCTAAGATCTGGTACTTACAGCACTCAGCTTGCATTTGATTGCAAGCAACTTCTCACTTGCTTGACAAAGAGAAAAAATACTGCCTGATGTAATGGCGAAGTCCAGGGATACAGTGGCTGCAGGAATGACTAGATCTAGGGATGCAAGAAATAAGTATTCAGTGTTTGCTCCGCATATATGTACTCAGGTCACACCCCCCTCAGAATCATGGATCCCGGAGGCTGAACTGCACCCACCTGGAGGGATAAGGCTCTTTTCCTTTGCATAAAGGTGTTTGTTGGTTTGCAACTCTGGGAGTTCCCTGGGTAAAATCTAAAACTGAATGCTGTACACAGAGGGCAAGGATACACCAAAGAAAGAGACAGACCACTCCAGAACGGTAGGCGGCAGTTCCAACAAGCAAGAGAATTTATTCACAAGGCTTGTCTGAGGTGGCTGCAAGATGAATCGACCTTCATGCCCACCAGAATCTTAAAAGTTTATATAGAGGCTTTAGCAGGGTTTAGTCACGTATGCCGTCCAGATGCCCCAAACAACACATTGATCCCTCAAGTGTCCTTTGAAAATGCCTCCCACTGCAGGAACAGTGGGCGGAATGTACATTTCAAGGACAGGGGAGGGGTGAGGAGCCCCCAGGGGCCCAGGTCGCTCCTGTGGGGCAACCAGCGGTCACCTCTCCATGACCTTCTCCAACAGTGTTTATTTGCCAAATCTGACACCGATCTAAAGGAGGCACCTTTCCCTGCTTCTCAAAAAAATTCTTCATTTAGGCAGGCAGAGGCCAGGCTCTCCACATGCAGCCTGCCTCCCTCCATGTCTCAGGTGGCCATCTTCTCTGACAGCTTTATTCACAGCCAGGCTGGCCGGGTAGGGACCAAGGTGATGCTAGCCAGCCCCAAACTTGCATTGTCCTCAGTGCCTGAAATCCAGAAAGGTGAATGTACCCTGTTCCAGATAATTCTATTTTTTTTTTTAAATCCCTGGATATGTTCTCATTGACTCTGAAATCACATAGACTGAGAGCTGGAGAAAGGTTACGCTCAGTAAAAATGCATGAAGCTGTTTCCACGGGTGAGCTTAGGGGTGGTAGGTAAATAATCTTAGAGATAAGATTTCCCTTTTTTTTTTATTTATCATGAAAACCATTATCATCTTGACATTTGCAAGCCACTTTACTGGTTGGGTCTCCCTCACAGTGTTAATGGGAAGATCCACTGAGATATCCTGCAAAATCGTGCTTTTTTATAACAGAGCTGTGAACGGATACAAAAGGCTGTCAACACTTCAAACTTCATAAACATGCACATACACGCACACGAAAACACATACATATACACAGATTATCTTGATCGCGACCATTGCCGGGTGTAAAGAATTCATTTCATTCTGGTATTTTTGGGTCTTGGGTTTAATGCATCTTCATATACAGAAAGAGAGTACAGCTAAGCTTCTCCTTCTTCTGCAGATAAGCCAAATTCTACCAAGAGAACTTCATTTACTGAATTAAAGTTGGGGGCAGGGGGTTGCTTATCCTGAAAAACAAGTTTTTGTATTTCAAACTGTTAAGTCAGTTTTTTGGTGGTTGAAACACAGTCCTCTGGATTGATCTCAAGATTGATTGGGGGGAGGTAGCAATGATTAAAGACGGCAGTGCCATTACTCTCTTCCAAACTGTCTTTTTCATTGCTTTTCCAGTGTATTCGCAGAACATGAAACTGCACATTTCTGGATGGAGGAGACCCTGCTGTACAATGTGGTTTTGAATAGATTGCAAGAAATAAAGTCAAGAAATCCTGACCCTGAATTCCAGACTCAGAAGGTGAATAAGAAGCCCCCCTTTTTTATCCCACACCCACTGAGCTGGTATGATTAGAACCCCAAGTTTGGGGCAGTGGTCTCCTTGCCCCTGGGGGAAAACCTGCATAGTCAAATCAAGAAGGCAGAAATCACTTCACACCAGCAGGTGATTGGCCCATCCAGGGCTGTGTGTGTGTGTGTGTGTGTGTGTGTGTGTGTGTGTGTGTGTGTGTGTGTAAGTACATGAGAGAGAGGTAGGGAGGGGACTTAGCAAAAGTCAGAAAATCAGGAAATAAATGTCTGCCATTGTCATGCTATTAGGATGAGTGTGGACCTGACCTTAAAAATAGGTATTGCCTTTGATTTATCTAAGCATTTACCTTAACCGTGTAGAAACTATAGACGGCTACCTAGTCAAATTCGCAATCCTGGTCCAACAAAATAAAATAAGCCTCGCTCCGGCCAGGGGTAAGCATAACGCCGCATGGTGACGGTGTGGCGGAGGGAGCTGACTGATGGCACTTCCCTGAATCTGCACCAGTGTCGGGACATGAAAATGTCCCGATCTGTGTCGAGTGCACTGAAGAAGGGCTGGGAAAACAGCGGGTGGTGGAAGGCACGACCTCTCTGTTCACTCCCTGGTGAGCAGATGCACCTCCCTCGCATCCTCGGTGAAACGGCACAGCGCTGCACCTGAGCTTGGCTGTGAAACTGAAATAAGCCGGTGGGCGACACACGTTCAGAATCGCAGGGGCTACCACGCGAGGCAGCTCGAACTGCGTGCCTCCGTAGGAATACATTACAGGCACTTCACAGAAGAAGGAGACAGGCGGATGGGGTGTCGCGTTAGAAAACAGCGCAGAAACATTTTTCCTGGACATTTTCTGTGTTGGGAAACAACGCAAAGTCCCAATGACTTCCCTTCAAAGGCTCCTGCAGAATCGGCAGAATCCGTGTGACATCGGTCGATTACCATTGATTCACTGGATCCCATTAACTTCCAAACTCAGCACATTCTCGGCGGTCAAGCACCCCAGCCCTGCTGCGCAGTTTCGCGGGGCTCCTGGAGAGAACCCCGTCCCCCGCCATCCATGCGGGTCACGACACCCCAGGACAGCCCTGCCACTGGCACTGTGCGCTCTGCCGTCACAGACCTTGATATGGGAAACTTTGAAAAACCTCTGTTTAACCTTTATTTGCCCAGGCCCCAGGCGCCCTGGGGAGAATGATGGGGCTGTCTAGGATAAGTAAACAACAGTGCATTAGCTAGGACTGAGATTAACACCCCTGCTTCTGTGTCCTTGGAGCCCTGGAACTGAATAATAGGAGTTTGAACCCTGCCCCGTAATGAACTATTATCGCTTCTGCTTCTGCCCCGTAGACACCTGTTCCTTGAGCCTGCTTGCCCCTAGACAGGACTAACTTCCGCATTCCGCTTCTGTATCCCGCCTTGCCACGTAGACAAGAAGACCCTAATCTATAAAAACCCCAGGAATCCTTTGTTCATTGCTCAGAATTTGGAAATGACTCCTCTGAGCCCATGCATGTAAAATAAACCTCGTACTCCAAAATCCCTCGGTGTTTGGTCGCTTCATTTCCCACAACATTTGGTTCCCTGACCGGGAAATCGCGACCTCACACTAATTCAGGCCTTTTGTCACCGTCTGGAAACGCCGGGAGGCGGCCGCAGGACCAACTGGGGAAAGCGGGGGTGCACGTGCCCTGAGATTTCTTAGGCCCCGTCCGGTTGGGGCGGCGGCCGCTGACCCGCACAGCCAGGCGGGAAGTGAGAGATTCTGGACTACGACTTGATTAAAGGCCTTGATTGGAGGCGCCAAACTTGGTGAGTGCCCCGGGGACTTGTCCCGAGACTGGAAGAGGCTGATCACCTCTCATTGGAACCTTGGGTTGGATGCATTCCGACCACTCGAACCCTTCTCGGGGGGTTTTGTCCTGAGTTTAGGTGGGATCCATACCGGGTTCCACAACTTGACCCCTACCAGGGGGTTTGTCCTGAGTTTAGGTGGGATCCATACCGGGTTCCACAACTTGACCCCGTACTCAGGGGGGGTATTGTTTAAACTCGGAGTGCTTGAGCGTGAAAGTGTGTGCGACTGTGTTTGTGGCTCCACGGGCTGGTCCTACGGAGCAAGAGTGGGTCCCAACCTGCGGTTCCTGTGTCAGGTCATACGGCATAACGGTTGGCAGCTAACCCCGAATTCTGCTGGGGCAACCTTAGCCAAGACTGACTTCGTCCCGCGAGGGAGCAGGCCAGGCGGACGAGCGAATCTACCCCACCCTTTGTGTGTCCGCGTCGTGTGGGGCTCGGCAGGTATGAGTGAAAGAGCTGAAGTTGTGTGAGAACCGCGGTTCGCCTGTGTGAGAGGAGAAACTGTATCTGTGCAGTCTTTGTTTGTCACGGCTATGTCATTGTCTGTGAGTTTCTATGTCTAATTTGTAGAAAAAAAAAAAAAAACGCGCGCCAGCTGGGTCCGCAGGTGCCGGAGCCGAGGAATCTGACTGGTTGAAACAAAGCAGCACGGAGGCCGCGCCGGCGCCGGTGTTGACGAGATGAGTATTCCGTCCCCAGAGTTCTCCCAGTCAGCAATGCTGGGACCCTCGCTCGCTGATTGGAAAAGCGCGCACACTTCTCGCGTCCCCGCACCCCCTTTCTCTTCCCCTTATCGGCACCCCAGGTGGCGGGGCGGGGGCGGGAGGCTGTCTCCTCGGGACAGACGGGATTGCCGAGGTGCTGGGTAGCTCCTCCGAGCGACCGCTTCCCCCTCCCCAGCCCCGGAGACAGGGTCGGAGGGCGAGAGCCAGGGGCCTGGCGGCTGGGGGGCAGGACAGGCAGTCCCCAGTGTGCAACGGGCTGGTCGAACTGTCTAGCCTAGAGCAGGAGGTTTCCCTGCTAGCGGGAGACCTGGATTTTCTTTGGGAGTGCTATACTGTAAACCCCCTCCCCGACCGTGCTGACTTCGGTGGCTGGCGGAGCCCTTCCCCCCAGGCTACTGCTGACTAGGGCGGCAGCCCCGCTGGCTGTTTCCTAGCAACGGGTAGGGTTTCAGCCAGTGGGCGGGGCTGATGGCAGGCACTGAAGTGAGTTTTCTGCTGCAGCAGCTTGAGGCGTGAGGAATTTTAAGTTCTGAAATGTTTGCCAGTGAGGACCTTGTAATTCGACTGGTCTGGCAATTGTGAGACGAGCTCATCATACTTTAAAAGAGTCTTGAGCCTTTCCCCCCGAGAGTGATTTATTGGCCATTTTAACTCTTAGCTCGGAGAGGGGAGTGTGCTGTTTGCCTTTCTGAATGACCTTTAGCTCCAGGTTTCTCCAAGCTGTGTGGAATTCCAACCAGCGCCCCTGGAGTGGTCACCTAAGAGAGACTTTTAAAGAGACTAAATTAATGCTGCAAACAAGCAAGAGTGTTTTCAGATTCTTCATGCTGAAAGTAACTTTGTAAAGTCTGTGCTAATTCTTCCAAAATTGAAATGTAACCAAACCTGTTACTTTTATGTATCCCATGTGTTTATATGATTTTTCAACTGACTAGATTTAAGAATTTGAGCTGTAACAACCCAGAAATGCCTTAATTAATTCCTGTTTGTACTCTATAATGTATATAGAAATTGTTCCTTGTAATTGCATTCGAGAATAACAAATAGCAGATTTCACAGGCCTATTTTGATTTGATTTTATAAACAAGAGTAAAGAGATATTGCTAACCGCTCTGTGCCGCTGCCCTTAGGGTCTGGGGGCGAGAGACGACCTCTGGAGTGCAAGACTCCCTGGTGGCAGGCACTGCCTTGGGTTTCTCTCCCTGCCCCCCAGAGCTTGGTCGGAAGTCGGTAGCGAGTGGGACTTCCCCCCAGCTTTGACAAAGCCCTGAGTCCCCGTATATTCTGGGAGAAGCGCTTTCTGACTTCGATCTCCTTAGGCCTGAATGCCTACTAGGGAGAGGTGCAACTCCCGTGCCTTGCTAGAGTTAGGAAAAATTTGGCGTCACAAAAGCTTGCTAATGAACCTGTGAAGTCTGCTAGGAGTGCTTTCATTCATATGATAAGAGTCCGAGGGGTCCTAGTGTGTGAGAAGCTTAGATAGAGCCGCTGGGACGGCGGATAGGCTGCCTCTGGATTGGGAGCAGGCTTGGGACCTCGTTTGCCCCTTTCTCTCTGGTGCCCCTCGGTTGTCCCTGCTCCCCTGCACACTGGCTCGGCCACTGGGGCATGCTCTGAGCTAATTCCTGTCATCTGTCTATGTAGGGGAGCTGACCTGGGTGCCCTGGCTTCCCATGACTTTGGCATGGACTGCCCTGGTTATAGATAGGTTCAGGGTTCCCTCCGGGGGCCGGCCGGCTCCGAAGGTCAGCCATTCTGGGGTACAAAACGTTTCTAGCTGCAGCAGTCAGGTTCTCTGTGTAACTGATTCTGATAGGAATCGCTTTAGTTTTAGAAGTCATGAAATGAGATCCAAGAGTGACCACCTGATTTATAGGGTATGGTATTTGCAAGGTCTAGGCTTCAGAAGGTTTGAAAGGAATGTGCCTGCAAATCTAGAGACTTTTAGTAAAAGATACCTGAAGTACTAGGGATTTTTAGCTGCCGCATACTGAGTTTAAGCATTGAGTTTAACTACAGCCTTTCCCAGTGTGGGAAAGAAACCAAGATTAAAAGAAAGTGATAGTTAAATCTAAATGAGCAAAAATGTGTATAAAGGATATGAAAGTTTTAAACCTAGAGTAAAGGAAACCTCAACTACTTGTTTTCTAATTTCATGGAAAAAGCAAATTTCTCACATGTAGTTCTGTTTCTAATCAGAAACCTGTGTTTTAAGACCTATTGAAGGTCACCTGAAGACCTAAGGAAGGTCACTGTAGCCGGTTGGGGAGAATGCTTTTGCCACCTGGGACCCAGGAAGGGTCATTTGGGGCTGATAAGTGTTTCAGCCTGAGGCAAAGAGCATGTCTCTGCCATGAGACCGGATTGGAAGAGAGCAAGTCTCTGCCATTGGTTTTGCTTCTGATCAGAAACCCTGTGTACCTGAAGACCTAGGGAAGGTCACCTGTAGCCGGTTGGGGAGAATGCCTTTGCCACCCGGGACCCAGGAAGGGTCAATTGTGGCTGATGAGTATATCAGCCTGAGGCAAAGCAGCATGTCTCTGCCATGAGACCAGATCTGAAGGAGCATGTCTCTGTGAGGCACCAGTGGACGCATCGGTGCAAGAGAATGTCTCTACCTGTATTGTTTCAGAACTCTGTGTTTCAGGTTTTGCTCTGTATCTGCTCTGAAAAAGAAACTGAGGATTCCAGGAAAGGTTAAAACTTCATACTCTGTAAAAAAAAGTAAACAAAAGAAAATATAAGATATGAAAATGAAAAAATATATAAAAGGTTGTAGAAGTTTGCAAAAGTTTGGAAAGGAATTATATAAAGTTAATAATAGAAGGTAAAAGGCATAGAGATGCAATCTTAATAGGTATCAGAAGAAAAAAAGATTTTCCATCATGCTTTGTATTTTTCTCCTAACCCCTCCAGAATTTGGCATTGTCTGAAGGAATAATGACACTATAAGGTTTCTTTGCATAAATTCAATAAGACCAGCCATTAATAGTAGTTTTGTTAACCAGGACTTTGACTGGAATGTCACGCCTGAAGGAGGCATATAGGTTCTGGTCATTACCGGAAAGCTCAGAGGAACTAGGATTGACCTGTGAAGCTAGTGAAAGCCCACAAGAAAAGCCTGGTACTTTAGCTAGTTGTGTGGTTCGTGCCAGTCTTTCCAGGGGAGGAATGAAGGTTGCTTTCCTGAAAGATGGCTGAAAAGGAACCTGTAAGCACAATGGACGCTCAAGGATTTGAGTGAAACAACTGGTACAGGCGAGGCCAGATGTGTGGCGCTGCTATGCCCTGAGAGGCAGATTGAAAAGTCAATCTAAGAGTTCCCTGGGTAAGTGTATGAGTTCCAGCAAAGCAGACTTAAGGATCACAAGTGATCCAGGCTGCTCTTGGGGTGTTTATGCAAACGAACAGTCAAAATTAAAAGCGGGACCCAAAGTAGTCCCTGTAATAACAGTGAGGGTAATCTTAAGGAGAAAAATTATAGTTCAAGGAAAATCACAGTGCTCAGCATTAGACATCAGAGTGGTACAGCTAACTGTCTTGAAAATTTGCTCTCATTTGAAAGTTAAAACCAGGTTTGTGATGTCACCAAAGATGTACAATTTACAGGTGCAAAGGACCTTGTCAAATTGCCACTGTTAAATGTCATTGTAAGAAGGACCTTGCAATAGAATGTCTTCCCAAAAGACAGTCTCACGGGCGCAGAGACTGGTTTAGGGATAGTTATGCCAATTAACCTATGTGTTCTTCTGTTTTCATAGGGCCTATGCCTATGACTTGCCTATGCCTATGAGAGATTAGTTGCAAGATAGGCCTCACTTAAGGAGCCCATCTCCATCATTACCCCACTAAGACTCAATGGTTTGGCTGAACTAAGTAGTTGGGTTAGTAAAAGACTGGGGCGGTTTGTGGGCTTCACTTTAGAACTAATTTTCTCTTTTCTGTCTTGATAGCTTGGACAGAAAGGGCTCAGAAACCTGAAAGGAGGGAACTCCTAATCATTACTGAAGTGCCTGCCATTGTCTATTAATAGTTATTATTAAATTGTACTTCCAATTTCTTGCCTAATCTGTCACCTCCAGAACATGACCTGACCAGAATGACAGCGGTCCAGTAATGCCAGCCTCTGGACACCAAGCCTGCGATGTCCGGGTGACAGCCAACTGACCAGGACCCTGTGAGGTCTTTCCCCTTACAGGAAAGACTCCCTCCGTGCTGCTCCCCTTCAGGGCACCCCAACCCAAGGGTAAATAAGACAGCGTCCATTTCCAGCTTGGAAGAAGTTACAAGAAGATGAGACCTCCGTCCCTTTTCCTTTATATAATTATGAAATAGGTATAAATCTAAAAGGAAGAATATTAATACAGAGTGCATCCACAGGGAGCCCCAGAAAAGATTTAGGATGAGATCCAAGGTTCAGGGTATCCAAGAGATATTGAGGTGTACTCACCACTCCCCGGGAGAGGGGGACGAATAGAGCGGGGCCAGTGAGAGATGTTGTACATAGCAACAGGTTTGCAGCTGACCTCTAAGGTAATTATTTGACATATAGCTTTTAGCTAGTTTCATAGATATATTGAATAGTATGGCCAGACTTAGAGCTAAGGAAATAAAGTCACTTACCCAGGATATGGCTAGGAGCAGAGCCCCTGAGGGGGGGAGGCCTGTGTCAGAGCTTAGAAAAGATCAACTCCAGGCCATAAGGGGATAAACTACCCAGGTGAAAGAGGGCACCGCATAGTTTAAGGCAGAGTGCCGACCCCTGCAGCTTTGGTGAAGGAGGCCCATGTGGCTTTGGGGTTCCCCCTTTGGCTGTGTAGCCTAGAGGGCAGGAGAGACTTTGACTGGAACTTAGTACAAAAAAGGACCTCTTGCCAGTGGACTGTGAGGGAGTGCCACATAACTTTGGATTGGCCAAAGATCCTGCCTGATGCAGCTGATGATAACAGCGGCCTGAGACACAGATGTGTGCTCTTTCCTGGTTTGCAGTGCCCGGAGTTAGAACAAAGCAAGTAGAGAGCAAAGACATAAAAATATTTTAAGTTAAAAAGGAGAAGAAAAAACTTAGTTTCTGACTACTCTTTTGCAATAATAAAACTAGAATTATAAGTAATAGCAAGAAAAATACCTAGTCTTTACACCATCTGTATTCTTTTTGTTCTAAATCTTTGTTTACTTTGTTAGAACCATGTAAGTAGTTCTACAGAGAAGTGTGTAATAGTCCAAAAGGGAAAAGAAAGAAACCTCATTAATACTCTAAATCTAAGAAAAGGGGGGACTTGTTTATTCTTACAAAAATATATATTATGCTTAAACAAGCAACCAGTGCTGTTTAGCATAAAAGGGGGGAATGATATGGGAAACTTTGAAAAACCTCTGTTTAACCTTTATTTGCCCAGGCCCCAGGCGCCCTGGGGAGAATGATGGGGCTGTCTAGGATAAGTAAACAACAGTGCATTAGCTAGGACTGAGATTAACACCCCTGCTTCTGTGTCCTTGGAGCCCTGGAACTGAATAATAGGAGCCTTTGAACCCTGCCCCGTAAATAGAACTAATTATCGCATTCTGCTTCTGCCCCGTAGACACCTGTGTCCTTGAGCCCTGGCTCTGCCCCTAGACAGGACTAACTTCCGCATTCCGCTTCTGTATCCCGCCTTGCCACGTAGACAAGAAGACCCTAATCTATAAAAACCCCAGGAATCCTTTGTTCATTGCTCAGAATTTGGAAATGACTCCTCTGAGCCCATGCATGTAAAATAAACCTCGTACTCCAAAATCCCTCGGTGTTTGGTCGCTTCATTTCCCACAACAACCTGGCCCCCCGGTTCTCACAACAAGGACGTGGGCTCAGAGTGAGTATTTTCCCTACATCTGTCAGTTCCTGGGTGTCCAGGCCAGAACTCGGATTCTCCGTGTTTTTCACATGAATGTCCAACAGTTTCACATTTCTGGGACTCACTGGAAGATGAAGATTAAATACATTGCAACGCATCATCACGCACACAAAAAAATCTCATAATGTTTTAAGTAAAGTTATGATTTTGTGTTGGGCCACATTCGCAGCCATGCTGGGACCCAGGTGGCCTGTGGGCCACAGGATGCACCCGTTTTGTTCCTCGGATACAGTATTTCCCCAGATTGCCTTCTGCATTTGTGGTTTATTGAAGCATAACTGACAAATAAAATTGTGCAGGCTACCTTCTTATCAGTGTTTTTATTATAACGCATGAGAGAGCCATGGTCCTGAAAGGCAGGCCCACCCAGGGCTCGCCTGCAGGGCCCCCCCACCGACACTCCTGCTTGCCCAGGAGAGTCCTGCAGGGTTTGGGGATGTCAACGCTGTCAAAGGTAAATCCAGCATTTTATCAACCACAGGGCCTTGCTGCCTTCGAGAATGACAATCGGCACCACTGCCACTGCACTAAGCATCTGAGACTTTCTAAGAAATCTCGGAGGTAGGTTTTCTGGGCAGCGAGTTGCAAAGTCGGATTCTGCCCTCCCCCCCCCCCCCCCCCCCCCCCCCGCCTCCCGCCCCTGTCTTTCCCTCCCCCTCCAGACCTCAGCCGTCTTCCTCTGGCAGGATTTTTCCAGTAACAGATAAAAGGCTGTGGAGCAGTCTGCCTGTATTGAAGAAATGTCTCTGCTTCTAACGTTTTGACTTCAGCACAGATTTTCTTTCTCAGAGCCGTCTCCTCCCGGTTTCTCTGGGCTATCTGCCTAACTTCGTATCCTAGTAATTGTCTGGTGCATGAGAATCCCCTCCATCTGCAAATATATTACACTACATTCACTGGCTTCCGTTTAGGCAGCTCTCTTCCACAGGAGAGGTGGAGGTATAATTATTTACATCTACCTAGACGAGTGTGTGTATATAATAAGCTTTTTTTTCACACAAAACTCCCTGACTTTCCATGTCTTCAGTGGAGCTTGAAAACCTCCAGGAAGATTACAGAAATGCTTCATCAGACTTCCATTGTCCAGGCAACAGACAATCCCCTGAATGGCTCCAAAAGAAAACCAGTGCCTGCTGATAGGCAGGGTAGATGTCACTTACCAGCTGTCCGCACCCATTGTTGCTCCCTTGTTTAATTTCTGCAGCCAGCAACAAAAGTGCTTCGATCCTTCAAAGCAGAAAGTGCGCCTAGCCGATTGATTCCAAATGGCCTCTCTTTAGATTGGATTTTTATTTTATTTGGTTGAACGATTCTCTCGCACTTAAACCTGCAGTTACGTGGTGAATTCAAATAATGCCTCCCACTTTGCATTTCAAAAGAAAGAAAGAATCACCGTGTTTATGAAATCACTTTTAGTTGCAATTATAGTGATTTGTCTCTGGTATACACAGGTCATCGGGTCAACACTGTTAATGAGAGACTAGTGTTATTGCTAATGAGCAACCAGTGAGAGTTTCCATGTTTTGTGTCCAGCTAGTGGTAAATACAGTATGTTAAGGCAGATAATTATGTTAATGTTTCAAATATCTACAGACCAAGGAAGTCCCTTAAAACATATGACAAAGCGGTTGAAAGGAATAAACAAATAAGGTGGACTCTACGTTTACCCAAAAGGCATTAAGTCTCCTTTGTAGAAGCTAAAGGCAATGTACATCAGTGTCTGCTTCTGTTAACTCACAGTGCGTGAAAATGAAGAGAAGGCTGATGTCAGCTGACCTTCGATACTATTAACATGGGCAAGTAATAGACCTCACTACTTTGGGCTTCAGATGCTTAACACTGTAGGATAAACCTCATTCAGGCAGTCAGCAAGAATTTTAGTGTTCCATGCCGAGAGGTCACTGTGAGGAACACTTCAAGTAACAAGTAGACAGTCAGCTCCTGTCTACAAGAAGCTTACGAAACGTTTAGAGAGGCAAGACGGAGAGGCGTGAAATACTTAACAAGACGCAAGAACTGAGTGTGTGGGAGAGACGATATGGAACTTGAAAGAAAGTACATAAAAGCGGGAGCAGTGGGAAAAGTCTTTATGGAGAAGAAAGTTTGTATCAGTTAGTGATGTTTTCGCCTGCATTTATAGAAGGCCTCATTAACAGTGGCTTTAACAGTGGAAACGTATGAGTCTCTCACATACAAAATAAGTTAGGAAGCTCCAGTATTAGAACAGCATCTCAGAGGTATTATGGAAGACTCAACACATTTTCTAGCTGTTCCTCTCCTCCTCCTTCAAAATGTCAGTAATATACGAGGGCTGGCAAAAGTAGCTTTACAGTTGTGAGGATGCAAAACACAGAGTTTATTCTTGTGTTATTATCTCTTCTTGAGTTATATATTTTTTCCATACAAATGATTGTAAACCTACTTTGCCCACCTGGGATATTGAGCTGGCCAAAAAGTTTCTTACATTTTTCCCATAAGACAGCTCTAGTAGCACTTAGTTGTCTTTAACTTCATTCAAAACAATTTTGTTAAATTGTATTATGACAGCTATCATATCAGCACACATTTAAGAAAAACATCAAAATTGGTGAATTTTTGTGCAGCCATTTAAATATTGAAGATACAAGAAAATAGGCAACATTTTCAGTATATTATGCTTTATTATTTCAAGAAAGGTAAAAACAACTGAAACAAAAAAAATTATTTGTGCAGTATAGAGAGAAGGTGCTGTGACTGATTGAAGGTGTCAAAAGTGGTTTGTGAGATTTCTTGGTACTATTGACATTTTGGCTGAATCATTCTTTGTTGTGGGGCTGTCTTATGTATTGGAAGATGTTTAGCAGCACCCCTGGCCTCTACCCACTAGAATGCAATAGCAAGAGAGAGCCGACATACTCAAAATATCCAAATCAATAAAGTTATTGGTAAAAATGAAAACTGTGCCTTTTATTTTATGGAAGAAACATAATAGACTTTTGGCTAACACAATATGGTCACAAGGTGGTTGCTGCAGCTGTGACCATCACATCTTCATCCATGAGCATCCGTAGCAGAAAGTTAGCCAATAGGGAAAAAGAAACTTTTCTAAGCCCTTCTTAGAAAGGAGGAGAAAAATATCCCTGCAAATCCCCAACATAGGTCCCCTCACATCTCATTGGCCACAACTGCTCCTATGCTCAGTCCTTGAAGCAGCCACTGGTGACAAGGGACAGGAATCATGATTGCCATAACAAACTTAGACCAGCCATGGGCTCTTGAGTTGCACCTGGAATATTCTGGGTCCACAGGCAACAGAACCCAATTGGAGTTCCAACTGGCAATAAAATCAGAGCAGGAGTTCAGTAGAGAACCGAGAACAGAGGCAAGGCTCCCGTTCACAGGTCACAGTCTCCACCAGCAGATGCAAAGCAGAGGGCAGAGAACAAAGGCTGGGCTGGAAATCAAGCACCAGAGACTCTGCAGTCAAGTTCCAAACCAGCCCCCCAAACCCAGGAAAAACAAAACAGAAAACAACAAAACAACAACAAACAACTATAAACGTGCAGAAATGCCTGCTGGAGAAATGGTACAACAGCCTCATGGGGGTTTTGCAAAGTACCTCTTGGCTGGTGATACTTTTTGTTACTTAGTGTTTGCTGTAGCCCTCAGCTAACTTTAAAACAGCTCAGAACACCAAATACACATGAGAGCAATTTACTGAGATGCCTAGATTCTGCCATTGAGCCCCAGAACTTTGACTGAAATGCCTATCAGAATTACCAGGAGAGTTTTCCAAAAACAGGTGTCACGAGACGCTACACCAACACCTTCTGTCTGAACAAAACTTCCAGGACTTTGAGCCCCTGAAACTGCCCGGAGTACTGTTAGGGCCATAAAAGCCAAGGGATTGCCATGGTGACAACCCCACACCCTGAGTGGATTACAACCACAGGTTTTATCTCCCCCTCCAGTTGCACAGCAGCTGTAGGCTGACTGTGGGCTGTGGCTTTGCTACCTGCATCTTCCCCATTCTGAGCTCAAGTCCAGTGCTTCCCAACCTTTTTTTTATGTAGCCTCTTATGTACTGCAAATATATCTGTGCTCTACAGGTAAAGACACTTTTTTGCCCCACAGCAATCAATTTTACCCCAATGGGGGTGATAGAACCTTATTGAGAATGAGTGATTTAGGCTAAAGAAGTAACCCTGTCCTGGTCTCAGGGGGAAGGTAAAACGCTGACGGGTAAACAGTGAAACGGCCTTTGGAGGCTCTGTTTAGACACGACTTATGTCATTTGCCCGCACACCCCTGGCCAGGTCAGATCACAGGGGGCCACCCATGATGGTGATGACGTAAGGAAGAAGTCTCCTCCACACGGTGGCCATGGACACTACATGACAAGTTCTAGGGAGGATGGAGGATAACTGGGAACGGTAGCTCAATCCAGCACCCTGTATATACCTTCAGAGGGAGGAGTAGAAATGGAAGAGAACTTCTTAACTCCCTTCCCTTAGCCATAGCCATCATTTGTCCACCTGCACGTAATACGTTACCTATCATACCAGAAAACATGTATTTGGAGCAACTAATAAAAAGAGTAAAATTTTTTAGTTTGGGGGAAACTTTAACTAAAAAGGCTTATTATCAAGGACAAAAGAAAAACAAACAATAGTAATTATAGCTTCGATTTACATGATAGAATTGGTTCAACAGAATGAGATGTGAAGAGGCAAATGCTACAGGGTCTGATTCAAGGAACACCTGTGTGAGCATGGTTGGTGAGGAGATAACATGTGTAATAATTTATAGTTTTAATTTGAACATTTCACCTAAAATATCATAGGGCGTGCTTTAGTATGATATTGTTATGTCACAGAATTACATGCTTATGACATTGTAATAAAA